GACAGGGCATCACAAAATTGCATAGAGTGACTATGTGAGCAGAGCCCATAGTGGCCCACAGTGGTGGGCCCATAATGTGAATAATAAATAAAGTTCTGTTATTTTGTACTACTAAAAGTTTTGAGCATGTTCATTACCACAAAGTAACCTATAGAATATAGCCACCCAAACCTTGACTTTCATGTTATATCCCCTTGAAAAAGATTTTTTTCCCTAAAAAACAAAGTAAACAGCCTTACAGATCTTTGGGGAGGAAGCACTGGTCTGGCAGAGGTGACCTGTGAAATGTGAGTTTCAGCTCTGGTTCAACTTATTATAGGACCTTAGGTTAGTCACATGCTCCAAGTCCTAACTTTTCTCATCTAGAATATAAGAGTTAGCATCTCCCAAAATATGGGACACCTACCGTCAATGATACCTTAGATTCTTGCTACTCAAAAAGTGGTCCAAAAATCAGCAGTACCAGCATCACTGAGATTGTGCTCAAAATGCAAGTTCTCAAGTATCCCAAGAATAGAAAAACAAGCACCACATGCACTCACCATCAAATTGGTATTAACTGATCAACACTTAAGTGCACATATAGTAATAACATTCATCAGGTGTCCGGCAGATGGGAAGGGGGAGGAGGGAATGGGTACGTACATACCTAATGGGTGGGGTTGCACACTGACTGGGGTGGACACACTTGAAGCTCTGAGTTGGGTGGGGCCAGGGCAATATAGGTAACCTAAACATTTATATCCCCATAATATGCTGAAATTTAAAAAGAAAGAAAAAAAAATGCGAGTTCTCACGTCCCACCCCAGACCTTCTGAATCTAATTATGCATTTTTAACAAGTTCTCCCAGGCCAGGCATGGTTGCTCACTCCTGTAATCCTAGTACTCTGGAGGCCAAGGTGGGAGGATCATTTGAGCTCAGGAGTTCGAGACTCCCCTCAGCAAGAGCAAGACCCCATCTCTACTAAAAAAAATAGAAAGAAATTAGCTAGACAACTAAAAGTATATATATAAAAATTTAGCCGGGCATGGTGGCTCACGCCTGTAGTCCCAACTATTCGGGAAGCCAAGGCAGAAGGACTGCTTGAGCCCAGGAGTTTGAAGCTGCTGTGAGCTAGGCTAATGCCATGGCACTCTAGCCGGGGCAATAAAGTGAGACTCTGTCTCCAAAAAAAACAGGAAGTTCTCCCAGATGGCTTCTATGCACATTAAAGTTAGAAGAATATTGCTTTATATGGTACTACGACTCAACACTAATTGGTCTATAATTCATAATGGGAAAGTTATTCCTTTTCCACTTACTCAATCTTTCTGATTACTTTAAGGAGAAAGTCTCTGTTTGATGCCAGTATATCTTTAATACCTCACTAACTGCTGCTGAATTTCCTTTCTAATAAGGAGAAAGCAAGGTGTAGGTTCTGGGAAGGCAAAAGTATTTATCTTAATTACAATCGCATTATTTTATTTTCATTTTTGTATTTATTTAAATGGTTGTCTTGTATTTATGGCAACTGGCACAGCTTCTCTACTTAATGTAGTGATAGAAACCTCTTTAAAATCAATTAATATAGAAAAGCAAATGTATTTAAAGAATCACATAATAAATAGGAAGAAGTGTTTGCTTTAACGTTTCCTTCCATGTCTGGCAGAGGTGGGAACTCCATCGGTTTCACATTCCTGACCTCTGACTTCTCTCCACAGTTTTACTCATTAAGCAACTTTACTTACACTGTGGGAGTGGGAGTGGAAAGAGGGCTATTTCTGATTGTAAATTTGGCTATGAAATGGGCATGCTCAGGGCAACATCCTCCTTCTTCCTCCCAGAATTTAGATACTCAGAGGAGAATTTACTCTCCTCTGAGTATCTACCTCATAGGTAATTAGCTTATAAATTTCCAGTCTGATTGGTAGGACCCTAGCAGCAGATTATTAGTTTAATAAATCTTTATGGTGTAACAATGATATGCTGGGTTCTGGTTATGTGTCTTATTTTGCGTCCTCCTGTTGCCCAGAGGTGCAGCTCCCTTTGGAGGGCTCCAGACCAGCCTCCGGCCAGGCTGTCTCAGTGTCTTTGGCTTCTCAGCTTCTGAATCTGCCCAGAAGCAACAGTCAAGGGCATTGTTGAGCTCAAGGTCCTTCTAGAAGAAAGCACCAGGTATTCATCATCATGAATCATGAGACAAAAATAGGTAATTGTTTTTAAGTCATCAGGCCGATCCCCTCGTGGCCTAACCACCATCACCCTAGCAGACCAATCATGAGGGATTTTAGTGATTACTCTGCTAATGATATAGTTTTGGCAAAAGGCCCTAGGTAAGAGTGCTGTGCACCTTCCCTGGAGAGTAATAGCTTTTGTGTCTGGACACCACATTTTCTTATGCCAATTCTCTACCACTTAACTAAAGTTTAGTATAAGTCTTATTATATTGCTGTGTTTTATTTTCATCATGGTATTTATTTCCACTGTTTTGTTTACTTGTTTATGGGCAGACCCTCTCCCACAGACTGTAAGCTCAAGGAGAGTAGAACCATTTCTGTATTGCTCATGGCTGTATCCTGAGTGTTTAGAACATGTTGAATGAATAAATCAATAGCTTCATATTCCAACTGTTGGAACAAGAAAACTAGGATGTGTACCTTCAAGATCTAATTAGCAGTCACTGTTAATTAGATCATTGTTTTAACTCTGGAACATTGTTTTAACTCTGGTGCCAATTTTTGCTGCTGTGTATGGTTCTAAATATTTAACTGTATTTTTATCTACTGCATTTCTATTTATTGATTCATTAATGCTCTACCTACAGCTGGAAAGTGTTTGCAGTGGCTTATGATAAAATCAACAGACATCAGGCCAAAGATAAGAGCTTATAAGTAAGGGAGAAGGACCCAAGGGAAACCTTAACAAGAAATCTTTGTTAAGGTGTAACTTTCTATTGCAATCTATGCAAGATCTGTCCCCTTAGCTCCCTTTTCTGGGTAAAATTGACTTGGGCATTCAAAATTGGTTTAAAAAATTATTTAGAGTCCTAAAGCAATTTATTGTGAAAATGTTCAAAGTTTTCCAAAATTTATACTCATCCAAGTAACTGTTCATAAAGGCACCATTTTGAGGCCAAATCAAATGATTTCGTGCTTATTCTTCTCTTCCTCATGTTTTCTGATGACAATGCAGAGGTGCGTAGGAGTCAAAGGCAGGCTTTACCTAACCTGGACAATTTTTCTAGGTGGTACATATAGGAGCATGGTTGACACCTTCTGGTCTTTTGTTCTCCTTAAATATAAAAATGTCCAGATTGGTAATTTCTAAAGAACAGTAAAGGTAAACAGGAAACAGGATTGGATTCTGCCAAAGGGTGGGAGATTTTAGGATTTCCTTGGGTTTATTGGCAATAGACCAGAAATACTTATCACCATTCAACTGCTGATGAGTATCCAGAAATTGCTCCTGAAATATGACTATTTTTTCTTTGAAATCAAAGCCATTTTGAATTACCAATCCAAATCAATTTTAACTACCAAAGGCTGAAAAATTTGCCAAAGATAGTATGATAAGTAACTGGCAGAGCCTGCACTAAGATTCAACATTTCTGATATTTAACTTTACATTTTTTCTGCAATGCTCCACAGCTTCTTGGGGATCCCAGGAGATCTGATACCCTGCAGAACTACTCAGAAATTATGGAGCTATCTCCAGACTTCAGGCCTGGATGCTGGCCCAAGGCAGTAATGAGTTTGAAGTAGGTGAACTTATCGGCACTGTCCTGGCAACAGTCAGCCATCTTTCTGGGGAGAACCCAGGGTCCTTGGGACCCAGGGAAGACTCACGACCTAGAGCTAGATTTGAATTCAACAACTCCACCTTAGGGAGGGGGTGTCAGTCAGCTAGTATTCTCCCCAAACACAAGCCCAGTGAATTTATTTCCAACGGTGAGAGATTTACATTTCATCAGCTCTCATGTATTCTGAGGACTTGAACCAAAGGTACAAGAAACATGTAGGTACCTTCCATCCAAATCAATCTACAAAATGCATGTTAAATATTTTATTCACTCAGGCAGCCAAGCACATCTGGGTTGGTGCTATCTAGTCTCCACCCTTTTGAGACAAAACTTGGCTCTGGGACATTCACCTTAAAAGAACCAAGGCAAAATATAAGACTTGTGTCTCTCCTGTCCCCACTTAGACTGGTTATCTATCTAACCTGACCTCACAGATGTCTCCTTCCATGTTTAAAAGAGATGCTTCCACTCTACTAGCACATATCACATCCTTTTTGTTTCCTGAAATTTATTTTAACAGAGGCAGGGGAAGAAGGACTCTCATTTACTGAGCTCTAAATATGTGTTCAGCACTGGGCTGGGCAATTCCAAGAACATGATGATTTCTAATTTACATGACAATCCTGTGAAGTAGTCATTTCACAGATTACAGAAGAAAGTTAAATGCTCCAAGGTCATGCAGACTGGAATCCCGGGTGAGTGCTCAAATCTCAAATGCATGGTCTTTGCATTCATAAGATGTTGTGAACCTAAAGATAAACTGGGACAACTTGAGCTTTGGAGAAGGAGGTGGGTCTTGTCTACTTTAGGAAGAGAGAAGAAATCAGCCTCCACCATTCTTTCTCTCCATTAGAGCTGAGGGAGGCAGAAGTTTAAGACCAGTAAGGGCTCCTTAGAGGAGGGGGACCCTTCTAGAGGGCAGGAAGCAGGTCTGGGTAGCCGAGTCTAACAGAGGCGGAGCTGCGACACTGCAAAGTCCTGCCCTCCCCCTGTTTTCCTGGGGCAGAGAATTGCCCCCATCCCCAGCCCCCTCGGCCTCTACGCAGCCTGAGACGCTGGAGGTGGCACCTGGAGGCTCGGGAGGCCAGCGAGGAGTTACACGCTGCAGACACAGAGGAGTAGGGGGGAGGGGGGTGTCTGGTGCGAGGCTCGGGCTCAATAATGTAAGGGGTTGGGCGGGCCACGTGACTCCGAGGAGGTGGAGACAGGCGAGCTAGAGGGAGGACTGGCAGGCGCCGGGAGGGGTTTGGGGAGGGGGGCGCGATCTGAATAATTGAGGAGCTGTTCAGCAGCCGGCTGCTGCCTGCCTTTGCCGCCACCGCCACCTCCTATCGCAGCCGAAGAGGCGGCTCCGCGCTGTAAGTGCGAACCGCCAGCCACCAGCCTCAGCTGCGGGTCCGTCGCCTCCAGCCCCTCGGGTGAGTGATGGCCCCCTTTGCCGCAATGAGTCCCCATCCGCGACTTCCGCGACCCAGCGGACCCCCTGGGACTGGGATGATGCTCTCTCCCCGAATGAACCAGGGAGCCGGAGCCGCCAGGAGGGGGAGCGGGAACATGGCGCGGAGGCTGAGGGCGCCCTCCGGGAAGGGGTTCCCTGCAAGGAGGAAGGCGCCGGGTCGGGGTCCCCGGCTCTGGCCGGAATAGGGCCCCGACAGCCCGCGGGAGCCGCCAGGCGGGGCGGGGGCAGACGCAGCTCCGGCGCGGCGGAGCGAGAGGCAGAGGACCGAGCCGGGAGCAGCGTCCGGCCCGTCCGGGTCTCGGCACGCGCTGGGCCGGCCTCCCCCGCCGTGGCACTCGCCGGGCTCGGGCAGCCGGTTCTCTGCCTGGGACTGCGCCCGGGAAAGGAAGAGCCGCTTTTCCGGCCGCAGCTCGAGGGCAGGGCGGAGGCAACATCTGCCCTTTTACCTGACAACAAACTCTTCAAAGGGACTCCGGCTGAGCTCAGAGTCCCGACCAGAGCGGTTGCTCCCGGGTGTATCTGTCCCCGGAGAGCAGTGACACGCCGGGGGCGGCGAGGAGGACGTGACGGGAGAAGTGTCCAGGGACGCTCTCTGCGGCGAGCGGGCGGCCCAGGGAGAGGACTGTCGCCTGCGCTGCTTCCCCCGTCAGGCTCCCCTCTTCCCTGCCCAAAAGCACATCAGTTTCCCACGAATCCAGAGGGCCAGGCTGGGGTGGCTGTTCACTCGGGATGCAGCCCTCAACCTCCTTTCTGTCTTATCACCCCGACCCCAAACGTGTATTTCGTATTGCGATTGAAGAGTAAGTGAAAGAAAGGCAGAGAAAAGATGCGGGAAGCCTGATCCTGGCGCCCCTCTTCTCCCTACCCGGGCGAAGCTCGGTTCGTTGAGGTCTTGAGCTTAGAGACTCAATGGAACCGGCTGTGGCGAAGGGATTCTTGCCTATGTGACGGGGGAGGTCACTGGCCGGAGTTAGTCAAGGGCCACAACATGATAGCCTGCTTCCCCCTGAGGTATGGAGTCTGGGAAAGCACCGAGATCATAACACCTGGCTGGAGCCTGGGCCGCAGAGCAGACGACCAGGGCTGGGGGTTGGGAGCTGTCCGTGGTGCTGAAAGTTCTCGGAGGCTGGGGGCGGCTCACAGCTAGCCGGCGTTCCTTGCAAGCAGAAACTACGTTAGAACCACGGAAAGAGGTATAAGCAAGCGACCTACAGAAGCAGATAAAGGTGCTCTGCCTTCCTCAGTTCTCTGCTTCCCCTGACTCCGCCTGGGAGGAGGTTCCCCGCGCTCCTGGGTGGAAGAGCAAGGAGTGGGTGTCACTCCAGGATCCAGCCTTGCTAACTCCGAGTTCTATTTCCTCTGCCTGCACACTGAGTCTTCCTGTTAGAAAAGTATTGAAAAGACTGGTAGGGATGTTTGTTTTGATAAACATTTCTGTAACTTTCATGAACCAGAGAATTGTAAGGCTACACTAAGGACGAGGCTTCCTGGTTATGGCTTTTTCTCTCTTTAGCACCCTTCTTTCCCCACAGCATGCTCTAAGATATAGATCTCTAAGAAGCCTTGTGTGCTTGTTTCTTTAACTAGGTTTGTTTGTTTGTTTGTTTGTTTGTAGTAGAGGATGGTGTCTCACTATGTTGCCAGACTGGTCTTGAACCCCTGGCTTCAAGTGATCCTCCCACCTAGGCCTCTCAAAGCACTGGGGTTACAGGTGTGAGCCACAGCCTAGTTTTTCATGTTGTGGGTGAGATGGGAAAAGATTAAGCCAATTTTGGGAGGCCTAGTTAAGAGAAAACTTACTGAACACCTACTAGGCAATATTATCTCATTTAAACATTCACAGTAGCTACTAAGTATCACACAGATAAAGAAACTAAAGTTAGATATCTTAAGTCCAGAGGTTGGATTCAAATTTGTGTCTGCTTAACTCTAAAGCCCAAACCATTTTCATCCCCTTATTTGGTGTTTGGCTTTGAATAGCTGTTATTGGGGATTATAGCAAGAGAATGACAAAGGAGGGAGGCCTGATTTTCCCTTCTACACACTCTGCTCTCTCTTCCAACCCTTTCTTCTTAATCTGTTCACTCACCCACTGTCACTCACTCCCACCCTCCAACTGTTTTATGCATGCTGCTTGAGATACCACTGTTCACACAACTTGAGCTCCAGAATTACAGAAACAGGTTACAGGACTACACCAGCAGGCTTTCCTGAAAGAGCATCAGGGGTTCAGGAATCCTGAAGAATTAGAAATGACATAGATGTCTTTCATATTTAGAGTTATACTATTGAATTTTAGGGCTGGAATACCTTAAAGATTATTCAGCACCATTGTTTCACAAGAAGAACTTGGGGACCAAAAGATGGTCATTTGTCTAAGTCATATGATTGAAAGTTAGGATTAGAACCCAGTTAACTGATTCTAGGGCCAGTGTTCTTCCCACTACTGCATGATTTTTAAAATACTCTTCCCTGCTGTCTTCTTTGATTATCTTTGACAAGAACATCAGCATTCATAAACTGTATTCAATACTATACCACAAATGCAAACACCTAAAATACAATCAGTCCTCTTGGCTACTTTTTCTTCCAGTTTTTTCCCCTCTAGACCCACTATTCTAGTGTTGTCTGATCCAATACACCTAAGAGATATGACCCACCTTTCTCAATAACAGTTTTCTCTATGGCAGCAATTCGCAAATGGGAATGGTGGTATGTAATTTCTCAATTTGCACTTATGTTGTCTATATTTCCTCTTCTATGACCTATTCCCCACAAAAAAATTTTCCCAAAATTGATCACCTGAAGCAACTTCCCACATTCTTCTAGGGACTTAGAAGAGTCCCTAAAAAGATCTAGGCATAAATAAAGATCATTACAAGTGCTAATATATACGAAATGCTTGCCACATGGTATACACTATGCTAAATTATTTTATCAATCATTTCATTGAATCTTCACAATTCTATCAAGTAGGTAGCTTCATTAGAAATGGTCCTAGAGCTCTAGTGGACTCTAACATACAGCAGAACCTGATGTTCTGTTCCTATCTTCTTGTTTCTCTTTCCAGCCCATACTAAAATCTTGTCTCCATTAATTGGATTTCTGTATTGAATTGATAGTTCTGTCCTAATCCAATACATAGGGTCTAGAAATTCAAATTCAATTCAAATGACATTGTTTTGCTCTCTTATCTCTTAATATTTACCACAACATATTCTTTTCATTTGTTATTGCTTACTTAAAAATCCTCATGTGTCTTCTTATTGGTAACACCAACATCCTGCTTCAAGTTCCCTCTAAAGCCAATTAAGACATAACTCATAATTAAATACATAACATCTACTGTATCCTCTCTAGGTGATCGTGCAAGAATGTTATTGGTGAGGTACCCTGGGCTCTGTGCACAAGAAATTAAACTGTCTAGAACTACTTTGTTCAACATAATAATCGCTGGCCACATGTAGCTATTTACATTTAAATTTTAAGTAAGTAAAACTTTAAAAATTAAAAATTCAGTCCCTCAATAACACTAGCCATGTTTCAAGGGCTTAATAATCATATTTGGCTAATGGCTACCTTATTGGACAGTGTAGATATAGAAAGTTTTCATCACTGCAAAAAGTTCTATTGGACAATGTTGTTTTGAAACAATCTCACAGTGATCAAGAACTAGGAATTGAGAAAAGTAAGGACCTACTCTTATTGAAGCTTATTCCAAGAAAGGAGAAAAATCCACTTATGCCTAGTATATCACTAGCAGCCCAAAGATGCCCAGGACAATTAGGCTAGCAAGGAGAGCACATGTCTCAGATCTTAAGGAACTGGTTGCTTCAGGGGTTTGCTTCATATGGATTCCATTTAACTATAAAGTAAAATGTTCCATGAATGGGATTTACTGGTTTCCTGAATTTCAACTTAGAAATTATCTGAAAGTTCTTATTCAAAATTCAGGTTCATATATCACACATATATGTGATAACATGTATATCTTATCTTCATAAGCATAGTATGATAAACATGGAAAGAATTATAAGACTTAGAGTTAGTAGTACATATGCTACTTATTACTTGGTGACATTATAAGGCCCTCTAGGGCTCCATTTCTTCATCTGCAAAATATTGATGAGAATTGCCATAACTATGTGGAAAAGCTATTATGAAACTCAAAGTGTAGGTATATGAAAGTACTTTGTAAGGAGCATGAATGAATCTGCAATGGTCGATCATTTTATATACATATGGTATAGTCAATATGCAAATGGAGTATTTTAAGCTGAATGCATTTCTAAATGCTTTTAATCACTGATATGAATGTATTTTGCCATTGTTGTCATTTATTTCACTGAAGAGTGGGATGTTGAAGAAAAATAATTTCAATTGTTGAGATTTCTGGTTGGTCAGGTTCTAGCAATTAAAATACTGTGCATTCTTTGTGATTTGGTTTATTTGGCCCTGAACAGTTCTTTCTCAGGATTAAAATTTTTTTTTAACTAGGAGGTCTCAGTGGTTTGAAACAGCTTTTGCCTTTTAACTAATAGTTTTCTTTTTTTTTCTTTTTTCTTCCATGAGTTGAGAGAAGGCATAACTAATAGTTTTAAATTAATTGTCAATAATTATCCTGTCACGGTAATAGGAGTTCAGAGATAACAACAAAAAGTATTAGGGATATTCTTCAATATGAGTGGGTGAAAGGGATAATTTAAAAGAAATATTTTTACTTGTAACTAATTAAAATAAGCTTCTACCCATTCTCGTAAATCAATGAGAATAAGATTAATTCTATATCATACATTAATTAACTGAATCCTTGAAGTTGCATTAGGGATTCTGACCTTAAAAAGGAGTCTTCATTCTCTAAGGTAATATCTGTTGAGGTTATGAGTAGAACCTTAAGCTTTTGGCTAACATTTACTCCCAAACCTGGCATCTGTTTTCCTATTCCTGCACCTTGATCTA